TTACACCATCGCCACCACCAGGGCACGTCCCATCGCCACCACCAGGACAACGTCCCATCGCCACCACCAGGGGTTTTATTTCCGGCGGCAGGTTACGTTCCGTCGGCGGGATACGTCCCGTCGCCAGGATACGTCCCGTCGGCGGGATACGTTCCGTCGGCGGGATACGTTCCGTCGGCGGGATACGTCCCGTCGGCGGGATACGTCCCGTCGCCGGGATACGTTCCGTCGCCGGGATACGTTCCGTCGGCGGGATACGTCCCGTCGCCGGGATACGTTCCGTCGGCGGGATACGTCCCGTCGGCGGGATACGTCCCGTCGCCGGGATACGTCCCGTCGTCGGGATACGTTCCGTCGGCGGGATACGTTCCGTCGGCGGGATACGTCCCGTCGCCGGGATTCGTCCCACTGCCGCCGGGATACGTGCCAGGAAAATAATAAGGAACATATATATTTATCTTATTATATAGAGTCTAGTATATTATCTATTATATTCTTCTATATATATCTATATATTCTATATTATTTACTATATTATCTAGTATCTTATTATATATAAACTAAAAAATATATATATATGTAATAAAATTTAATATAAAAAAATATTGTCATTCTGGCTCCCTGTCTCTCCCCCCCCCCCACCCGGCCCTTCAAATTTGTAACAACCTAAAGTCGTCTCCTTGTATTAGATTATAGTATATCTTTCGTACAAATGCACTCTAGTGGTAGTTATGTTAATGCACTATAGTTAATTATAGTATTATTATTGTTCAAATTTCCCGTATGATTTATATATTAGGTTCGTAAACTTATACAGCTAGTTCGTGTGGCCGAGCGAGTAAAGCGTGTGATAGAACACTGGATGTTCTACGTTTAAGTCCTACTTTTATTTTCGTAATTTTTTTTTAAGTAATAGGCGAAACATATTTTTTTATATAATTATTGAAATTATTCGTGTACTTTTTATGTAGGAGAAATACTTGTATATTTTTAATTTTCGTAGGCATCCTTTCATCGCTTTTGTTCATTGTAACAATTGTTACATACATTTGAATGAAAGTTATTTAGCGAACGAGATTTAAATGCAATTATATACATGATTTTATATTTTGATGCCTACGAAATTTTAAAATATACAAGTATTTCTCCAACATGAAAAGTACACGAATAATTTCAATAATTATATAAAAAAATATTTCGCCTAATATTTACAAAAAAATTTTACGAATACAGTAGGACTCGAACTTGGAACATCCAGTTACACGCGTTTTAGTCACGCGCTTTATTCGCTCGGCCACACGAACTTGATGTATTTCAGGTTTACGAACCTAGTATATAAGGCACACGGACAA